AATCTGTCCCTCCATTTTCTATATATTCATCGTATGTTACCACTGGACTTTCAAGTATCGAAGAAAAAGCAGATGCTACCAAACTAAGATTGAAATTTGAAGTGTTCTTTTTTTCTACTTCTTTTTCGTTTGTGTCTTTTTCATCATTGTCTTTTTTTTCACTTTCTCTTGCGACTTTGAAAAAACTCTTCATTGCAAAAAAAATAAATCTCAAAATATTAATCAATCGTATGTTAAGCGATGTTTTTCCGCCGTAAAATGTTTAGATTTTTGCATGGTCACATGGAATTCCACGACAGAAAATCGATGGAGTACCATGCTCGGAGTTAGGCATGTCAAAGCCGTTAGCGACAAATTGGGCGTGATTTACCTCAAATTCAATTGCGGATTAAACAAAGTAAATCAGCAAACAGATTTATCTTTTGGAAAGTCATTAACAAATTTGTTCAAAATAAATACCGTAATTAAATATTTGTGACTTCAAAATTTCGAAAACAACAAACATTCAAATAAAAAATTTTAAATCTATAAACATATTTTATAAATGTTAATAAAACTTTAAAAAAAATAAAAAAACCAATTTATTTTAAACAAATAAGCAATAGTGGAAAAAGTAATAATATAAATAATAACAAATTGTAAAAGATATATCAGATATAAGGTATAAAAGATATACAATTGAACTTCTATAAATTAATAATTTTGAAACCATAATGCTTTTTTCAAAGTTTTTTGTTTTTTTTTTTTTTATAATAAAATAGGCATTAGATGCTAATCATTATTACTAGCCTATCCTACTTTATTGTTCTAGTAATACTAATGATATTCATAAAGTAGATTTATATTTTTTGAAAGAGACCTTCTAGGAGATAGAAATCCTATTACTAGTTTCAAAACTATCTAATCTATCAGTTCAATTTTTGTATAAGAATATTAATATACTGTTGATTGCTTATTTAAGTTACTTATTACATTATATCTTTTTAATCATACAGATAAT